AAAAATAACTTGACCTTTGGAGACATCATTAATATAAATAATTTTTATGGCCGTTGAATAAGAAGTGTTTCTTTCACAAAAAATGTATAAAATTAGTGCTGTATTAGATTTACGGTACCTAATTTACATACTGTACAGACGATAGTAAACTCAACTTACTCGCCTAAATTCTCTGTAGCGTGGCGCTGGATGGCGGAAAGTATATATTATAATTATAATAAAGTTACAATAAATTAAGTTAAAATTAAATTAATATATAATTATATATACAGTACCTAATTTATATATAATTAATATATAATTATATGTACAGTACCCAATTTATATATAATACTGTACAGACGATAGTAAACTCAATTTACCAGCCTAAACTCTCCGTAGTGTGGCGCTGGATGGTGGAAAGTAGTTTGGCTGCCCGATGACATTTTACCGAATTATAAGAGTTTTTTTTACCATGTTTGTACGGATACCGTCGCAATTTTTTCGCCGTCATATAAGAATCCGAACTATAGGAACCCGTATTACAGGGGGGTCAACTGTATTCCTCATTGAGATAGCCAATGAGCCAATTTCATACAGTCTTCAATCAACACTGGTGAAGGTCGAATAATAAGGAATATGATGATTTAGAAATCTCTCACAGTACAATTTTTGTGCTTCACATCTATTACCACCTATTTGGCCATAAACCAGATGCATATCTACCAATTCCTTGTATGTGTAGATCTCCATGCCCTTCATGAATGAGTCAATTATCCTGCAATGTTATCATGGTACCTTATTGATGAATGGATTTGGCTGCATTTTCAAATGTTTGCTCCTAATCATCTATGCACTGACTTGATTTGCATCTTGTGCTTCTCATACATACTTGTGCATGCTGGATGTTTCTCAAACTCATTTTTTTCTGGCACTATGAGTGGAATGCAGCCATAGGTTCCATTGCAAATATTGTTCATCTTGATGTGTCTTCTTTTTTGTTGAAAGAGGTTATGATCATCCTGTATAAGTAATTCAAAGAATACTTTTTCATATAGCTTTTCTGTTTGACAGAATATAGTAAATTTTCGATATAAAAATTTCCATCGTAAAGTCCACCAAACAATACCTTGTTGTATTACCCTCTGAGATATTTTTATTGTTTATCTTTGTTATAATACGTAAACAAGTTTAAAATTCGATCTTAATCTAATACATTTATACAGTATAATTTGAATCTTTTATATATTAATGTATAGGTTCTATCAGTTTTATAAGTAATTAAACTTATATATTTTTAGTGTTTAAGTTATACAAATCCAAGATTGAAAATTACGTTAAAATTCATTATACAAGTGCATTGAAAGTTGTTTAGCAACAATAATTTACATAACAAGTGTGAAATTAAGTTCACATAATAGGGAATTAAACGCATAAGAGGAAGATTGAGAAAATAGACGACAATTGTAGAATGAAGATAATTTGTCAACTGGTTCTTAAATCAGATAAAAATTTCTTCTTAAAGATAGATACAGATTAAAAACATTATAATTCAGAATTATTATTCTGAATTATAATATTCTAAATTAAGGTTTTATTCAAGATATGAAGAATTCTTTTGAAGATTCATGCTCTCATTTCTCTGATAATCTAAAAGTATATTACCATGAATTTGATGTATTATGATGTAATTTGATAAAAATTATCAACGTCTCTACATCATATAAATTGCAATTCATAATAAAAAATCAGCAATTTGAGAAAATAGTACTCTATTATTTTAACGACATTTAAGATAATAGCATTAAGGCAATTTCAATGGTAATAATATATAAAAAACAAAAAGATTAATAATGTCAAATGATAAGTTCTCTGCAATATTTTTAAGCACCATAAAACTTACAGTATTTTAAACAATAATAAAAATTAGAGTTTTTCAATACATAATGTACTATAATGTAAAAATTACTGTATATATATTATATTTCATTCTATATTTTTTCAATGTAAAACAAAAATATAAAAGTAAAACGTCAAATATATTAAATTTACTACAGATGAAGCTACTAAACAGAGATTGAGGCATTATTTAATTGCTATAAACATCATATTAAAATCTAATATAATATATTTGAAAATTATCAAATTTTACTATTTAAATGAGATGTTAGATCAGTATAATACAGCATATAAGTATACATATAATAATATAATATCAAATTAGTGTTCGCGTTTTAATTAAATAATCCTATATTTATAAGTATAGTATTTCGTACAGCAAATAAAATATCCTAAGATTAAAACGTACAATTTGTTCAATTCTTTCTTCAACATAAGCATTTCGGGTTGACGGGAACTCTCAACCCCTCTTCAATGTTATATAATTTGTAGGTATTCGTAAAGAAACAACCATAGGTGGAGATTTAAGTAAAATTGCATATTCATTTCTTAATCCCATAAGGATTGTTGGACATTGTATCTTATAAAATTTAATATTTTTTCCCTTTATAACCTTGGTTTGTTTATAAATGGCCGGCTCCTTAAATTATATAAACATTTAAAAACTTTAAAAAGTTCAAAAAAATTAAAAATAAAGGTAAATCATTAATCACCGTACAAATTTTTCTAGAGTCATTACTCTATTTAGTTAAAACACGTAATAATACAGCAAACCTATAATTGAGCAGATTAGTATAATCATGTTAAGATAATTACAGTCGACCCCCCATAACACTGTTGATTATTCCGTTTTATATGAATTCCATATTGTACGAGTCACTTAGATTTTACAAATACGTGTACCGGGCTGTGAACGGCTCACGTATTTGTAAATTCTAAGTGACTCATACAACAATGAATTTATATAAAACGGAATAATCAACAGTGTTATAGGGGGTCGTAATACAGTACCAAATTTTTATACGAGTTGCTATTTGAAATGGTTTTCTTTCGTTTACATAACTATATACTGCAATATAGAATCTATTATATAGAAGTTTCATATAGACTAGCATTTACTTTTTATATATGCAAACATATCGAAAACTATTTTATTATTTCTATGTTATA